TTACTCTCTATCTCTATAGATAGATAGATAGATAGATAGATAGATAGATAGATAGATAGATAGATAGATAGATAGATAAGAATATACGGAGTCAGAGAGACAGACCGACACATAGATATGAACAGACTGAGATAGATAGATAGATAGATAGATAGATAGATAGATAGATAGATAAGAATATACGGAGTCAGAGAGACAGACCGACACATAGATATGAACAGACTGAGATAGATAGATAGATAGATAGATAGATAGATAGATAGATAAGAATAAACTGAGTCAGAGAGACAGACCGACACATAGATATAAACAGACTGAGATAGATAGATAGATAGATAGATAGATAGATAGATAGATAGATAGATAGATAAGAATAAACTGAGTCAGAGAGACAGACCGACACATAGATATAAACAGACTGAGATAGATAGATAGATAGATAGATAGATAGATAGATAGATAGATAGATAGTAACAGACAGACTTAAGTACTTAGTTCAACGTGTTTACTATTTGGTGTCAAACTTCGAAAATTCAAACATTCGTAAAACCGTATGTACTATCCATACACACTCAAAGAGAACTTTACTAAAAAAATAAAGAAGAAAAAAAAAAGTCGTCACTTGTAGACTTCCAAGAGCAGCAATAAAAAATGTATAGCTCATGTTACACTGGGAGAAAAATAAATTATGTAGTCATTTAAAAAGATTATACTTCATCAGGAAATTACAGACATGCTCTACAGAATCTCCGACGAAGATTTATACCAAAGAACAAATCATACAACAGTAGACTTCCAACAGATTTAAATAAAACGTATAGCATATGTAAATAAAATATATACAGTATATCACAAAAATGAGTACACCCCTCACATTTCTTCAAATATTTAAGTATATCTCTTCATGGGACAGCACTGAAAAAAATACCTTTTGACACAATGAAAAGTAGTATGTCTGCAGCATATATAACAGAGTTAATTTCTTTTCCCCTCAAAATAACTCAAAATATAGTCATTAAAAGCTAAATCCCTGGCAACAAAAGTGAGTACACCCCTAAGAAACTACACCCCTAAAAAGTTAGTACACCCCTAAGAAACTACACCCCTAAGAAACTACACCCCTAAGAAACTACACCCCTAAATGTCTAAATTGAGTACTGCTTTTCATTTTCCCTCCAAAATGTCATGTGACTCATTAGTGTAACTATGCCCATGTGTTCATGGGGAGCAGGTGTATTCAAATTTGTAGTGCAGCTCTAACACTCTCTCTCTTACCGGTCACTGAAAGTTCCAACATGGCACCACATGGCAAAGAACTCTTTGAGGATCTTAAAAAACGTATGATTGCCAACACCCTGAAACTGAGCTGCAGCACAGTGGCTAAGATCATCCAGCATTTTAAAAGAGCAGGGTCCACTCAGAACAGGCCTCGGGTTGGTCGTCCAAAGAAGCTGAGCGCACGTGCTGAGCGTCACATCCAAATGCTTTCTTTGAAAGATCGGTGTAGGAGTGCTGTTAGCATTGCTGCAGAGATTAAAGAGATTGGGATTCAGCCTGTTAGTGTTCAGACCATACGCCGCACACTAAATCAAATTGGTGTACATGGCTGTCACCGGAGGAGGAAGCCTCTTCTGAAGGCAATACACAAGAAAGCCGGCAAACAGTTTGCTGAAGACATGTCAACAAAGCCCATAGATTATTGGAACCATGCCCTATGGTCTGATGAGACGAAATTTAATTTGTTTGGTTCTGATGGCATGTGTGGCGGCGACCAGGTGAGGAGTACAAAGATAAGTGTGTCATGCCTACAGTCAAGCATGGTGGTGGGAATGTCATGGTCTGGGGCTGCATGAGTGCTGAAGGTATTGGAGAGTTACATTTCATTGAGGGAAACATGAACTCCAACATGTACTGTCAAATACTGCAGCAGAGCATGATCCCCTCCCTCCAGAAACTGGGTCGCAGAACAGTGTTCCAGCATGGCAATGACCCCAACCACACATCCAAGACAACCACTGCTTTACTGAAGAGGCTGAGGGTAAAGATGATGGACTGGCCAAGCATGTCTCCAGACTTGAACCCAATAGAACATCTTTGGGCCATCCTCAAGCAGAAGGTGGAGGTGCGCAGAGTTTCAAATATCCGCCAGCTCCGTGACGTCGTCATTGAGGAGTGGAAGAGCATCCCAGTGACTACCTGTGAAGCTCAGGTAAACTCCATACCCAGGAGAGTAAAGGCAGTTTTGGATAATGATGGTGGCCACACAAAATATTGACAGTTGACATGTTGTATGTTAATATTGACAACTTTTCCTAAGAGGTGCACTCACTTTTGCTGCCAGGGATTTAGCTTTTAATGGCTATATTTTGAGGGAAAAATAAATTAACTCTGTTATATATGCTGCAGACAGGCTACTTTTCATTGTGTCAAAGTGTCATTTTGTCAGTGTTGTCCCATGAAGAGATATACTTAAATATTTGAAGAAATGTGAGGGGTGTACTCACTTTTGTGATACACTGTACATAATCATGATGTTGATATTCCGCACTGATTTAAAGAAAAGTTTAGGAAAGAAACTTCCGTCGCTAATAGAAGAGATATCAGATATCATTTCTTGAAAATCTTTTTTAAAAGAAAAAAATATACCAACCGACGTTTTAGATAACTCTTTGGTCAATATATACCGAATGTTTCCTTTATGGAAACGGCTATTCTTACAATTACACTTATCCCAAATTTAGATTACGATCTTTTCAAAAATAAGAATGAAATTAAACGACTGGAAATGTCCTGTGTCGATTCGTTTCATTTCATTATTATTATTATTATTATCATCATCATTCGATTTCTGCTATGGACACACTACCTACCAAGTCTGCGGAAAGACCTAAGGCAGATCGTGGTGTGTTGTTTCAATTTAAGTTAATTTTTTTTTTTTTTTATCTCCGATGAACTAGCGTTACATAGACAAAGTTCTCCTTAGTGTGTGTGCTCGACTTAATAAGACAATTTTCTGTATGTCTCTTAAGCTGGGGTTTCCAGGATTATTGTGTGTTGTTTTGTTCCATTTTTTATAATTCCAAGTGCACCCTATTACCACTGGTATTATTCTTGTTTTCAATTTCCACATTTTTTCTATTTCAATTTCCAGGTCTTTGTATTTTGATAGTTTTTTCAAATTCCTTGGTTGCTATGTTACAATAATGCCATATCAATTAGTAGGCAAGTTTTTTTTTCTTTCTGGTTTTTGACAATAATGTCCGGCCTATTTGCTTCAATTTTTCTGTCTGTGTGGATGGTATAATCCCATAGAATGGTGACATCTTCTATTTCTGTAACCGGCGCTGGCCGAGTGTTTGCTTACACATTTTCCAAAGTGTTTGCACATTGACAGTGTAAGTATTTGCCCCACTTATCGTGTCGATTTTTATATTCATTTGGGGCAATATAGAACATCCTGAGATTAGATGGTCTATTGTTTCTTGGTATTTGTCACAGAACCTGCATTTTGGATCCACATTATTATGTATGATATTTGGAAAACTAGTGAAAAGACTTGGTCTAGGGCTGCAAGAATAAAGCCTTTTGTTTCAGACTTTAATCCAGATGCTCGTAAATGTATTAACTTTTATCAACAACGTTCTGGATATTGGCCATGCAGAGGTTTGTCTTCAAGCGTTGTTTCATCTGTTCAAGGGCTTTATCCTTGGCTTTCTTTTTCATATCTTTTTCAATAGTTGGTTCTTTTTTTTGATTTACTACAGAATAAATGTAAATGTTGTTTGTATTTACTGCCTTCTTTTTTATTGAATATTTTTTCTTTCTGTTTTTTCATGTTGTTTCACTAATTTTATCATCCAGTCATTTATTGTTTCCATGTAAGTTAAGCCAATAGTTGTTGTCTTGGACAATTCTAGCTGAATAAGACCTCTTCCACCTTTACGGGGTATGTATAACGGTGACATAGCCTTTGGATGAATAATAATAATAATAAGCTTTCTTGTTTTAGAATCCATTTGTCTGATGTCATTTAGAGTCCAGTTCAAGATGTTGAAATATATTGGACCATGGGATAAAGGTTATTAAATAATTCTGTTCTGAGAAAATTCAGTTTTAATATTTTCGATGGTTCTATAGTACTCTTTACGCACTTTATGGAAAGCCTTCAAATGGTACTTATAAGCTTCTCATTGTTCTAAATTTTTTATTGTTACAGCAGGGTCTAAACTAATAGAGGAAGTTTGTTCCACGATCCTCGTAAAACTGTAGCTTTAGCACATTTATCCAAATTGAATTTCATTCCAATGTCTTCTTGAAGCATTTTACAGTTTGCAGAAGACCTTCCAGCTCATTGTCATTCCTAGCATACAATTTTAAGTCATCCATGTAAAATAGATGGTTTATTTTCTTTTGAGCTATTTTGTAAACGCATTCTGTCTTGTTAAGTTGGCTGGTTAATACTATAAGTGATATGCAAAATAATAAAGGAGACAAAGAGTCACCTTGAAATATTCCTATTGATGTTTATTCCTCCTTTATGGCATTTTATGATTGAGGTAGTAAAATAGTTTTCCATATCGACATACATTGTTTGATGAAATTGACAAACGGGTCCTCAGACTTAAAGACTTTAAGATCCAGGAATGTGGTACACTATCGAATGCTTTACGATAATCTATCCAGGCAATACTAAGATTTTTTTTCCACGGAAGCAAGGAAAGTAATTGGTCTTTACATCCGTAGCAGTCGTTTACCCTTTTTGTTCAAGTGGTAGTATGTCATTTCTTTCCAAGAAGAAATATGTCTGTTTTGTTAAAATAGATGTTAACAGTTTGTATGTTGTTGGAAGACATGTAATTGGTCTATAGTTTTTCGGAATATTTGTGTCACTATTTTTGGGTAGAAGAAAGGTAACTCCTTTGGTCATCCATGCAGAATTTTAGTTGGAAGTAACCATTTCTTGAAGTTCTTTATGAGTTTTTTTGTGCTGTATTTAAATAAGAAACAGTTAGAATTTTATCTATTCCTAGTTGTGTGCTTTTTTCAGTGCACATTTAACATCTTCTTCTGTGATTCTGCCCATGTCTGTTCTGGTTTATTTTTCATTCGTTCTAACTCTTGCGCAATCCAATCTGCCTCTTCGTTGTGTTCTTTATGGCAAGCCCATATTTTTCCCCAGAATGCTTCCATTTTAGGGGGACTGTCCTTCAATTCTTTGTTTACCTATTTCCCTGTAAAATTTCTTTGCATCGGTTTGAAAGATCTTGTTCTGTCTATAGAATCTTGAAGCGTCTTATTCTTTTGAGCCTTCAGTTGTATTGTTTGCTTTATTTTTTTCTTTAGTTGATAGGACTTCATTTTCATTCCTGATATTGTATTTTCTTTTCGACTCTTCTGCCTTTTCTAGTTCTTACATTTACTCCTCTTGCTAGTTCATCGAGTACTGAGGTGTTCAATTTCTTTTCTATTTTTTCTTTTCCAAGGTGGATC